AGCTAGAATTTCTACAATTTTGGCCCAGAAAGCTCGGTTTCTATAGGGAACTTATTCTCAGGGTAGGATGGAGGGGGATATTTTCAATGATTGTTTTAAATCAAAATAGTTTCATATACCCTGGAATGAGCTAGCAGGCAGCATTGATAGCTTAGAACGGAATGAACTGCAGTCAGGACGGGAGCGCTTGGGTTTGTCTTTCTGCCCTTCGATTCTATTGCCATTGAGTCTTGCCTGAGGCTTCCCTGAAAGGGAAAAAGAACACACACACACACACACACACACACACACACACACACACACACACACACACACACACTTAAAGCTTGTGCCTGGAGCAATAAATTTGCTTTGTTTACATTTAATACAGCCAATTACTGCAAGTTGATCAGTTTTAACTGGCAGGTCAGGGTTATGTGTGAAAAGAACTTTCTTCCAGAGTTGAGGCTCACCCCTTCTCAGCCCAGACAGTTGTTTCCAAACGACCAGTGGCCTACATACGTCTCCATGAGGAACTGACCATAGGACAGATAAAATCGCTAGCCACCTATTCAGCTACAAAAACAGTTAAAAGAAACCACCTCCACTTCCTGGTTTTCAGACCACACCACAGCTGTGGTAGTCTGCTTCCCCCACCCCCTCCTGTACCTCCTGATGAGTCCCTCAAGGCTGCCTGCCACTGGCCGAGCAGTGGGGCTTTGAGGGCTGTTCTTCCTCAACATTTCACTGTGCTCCACGTCAGTGGGCACCCGCCAACTCTTTCCTGTTGGCTCTGACAAAACTTTCTTCCTTATCTGGCTTCAGTTTCTTTGGCTACTCCTTCTGTTCCATAGCCTGCCCCATAAAAATGGGTGTCACCAGGGCCCATTCAGACTCTCCAACCTCTCCCACTCACCGCTGTGGTTCAACATCCACGGTCAAGTCTCAGCCCGCATCTACCTCTTGGCTCCAGACCGATTCATCAACCCCGCTCAGGGACTTGCGTCTGGAGTACACTTTCATCGTCATCTTTAAGGATGCCCTCACTCCTGTACTCTGCTTCAGTTAGGAGCTTTCCTCCTGAACTCTGGGAAGCCCTCTCTTTTCACGCTCTCATTCCAAAACCCAGATCCAATCCTGAACTCCTACCATGCCCCCTTCAGAGTGACACCCTCTGCTCCCATTTCCTGCTCTCCTGGCCACATCCTTAGTATCAGGTCCCCTCTAACTCTCCAGATCAGCACTGGAGGTGACCTCTTCTCTAGAGAGTTCTTATGCAATGCATCCTCCATGCTCACACCAAGACAGCCATGGAAAACAAAGCAGCCATCACGTTTCTCGTCTATGGCTCTTCTCACTTCTCCAGCTTCTCAAACTGTGGCGCACAACCCCCTCATGTAACTGGATATAGAGATCACACACACACACACACACACACACACACACACACACACACACACACGCACGCGCACACGGCTAAGGTTTCTGAATGCACAACCGAAAATTAGCTCAAAACCAAATTGATAACAGCAACGCTCACCCGTGTTGCATCCTGCAACTTCCCTGCAGGCTGAGTTCTGAACACACAGCATGAACACTGTTAAAGTCATCCTGCACACAGCACCAAAGAACACCCCCTAAAGCACCCGGCTGAGAACTGATACCATTGCATGTTATAAACTGCAGCGTTTTACTGTTCATATAAGTATTCTGCTCTGATGAAAGCATAACGCTTTAATTGTGGAAAACAAAAATGATTTTTACTATTTTCCTACTGTCGTTTCTCAGCATGTCAGATATCATTGAATTGGATTGTAGTAGACAAGCAAGGAGAGCCATTTCATTAGTATAGAATTTTTTTTTTTTTGAGACAGGGTTTCTGTGTGACAGCTCTGACTGTCCAAGAACTCACTTTGTACTTGCTTTTGTTCATAATAAGAGGTAGAACCACAATGTGCCAAAGAATTATTTTTAATTTTTTTTATGATTCATTACTAATAATGTTTGATTTGTATATCTGTTGTATATAGGTATATGCCTAGAGTTGTGTAAGATTTTCTTAGGCAAAATGGACTATAAGTAGGAAGAGTTCAAGAAACCCAAGTTATCCAATAAACTTTAAAATCAATGATTCACAAGTCCTTACCCGACTGTACCTAAAACAGGTTGATATGTAAATCCCAGCCATTCACACTCTGCCAAGGAATGATTCCAATAGGCCATGCCCCATGAGACACTCCCATAGGCATTTCCTAGGCTTAAGAGTCTTTCTTGATGGGTGGCAGCTGCACACACCTTTAATTCCAGCACTAGGGAGGCAGAGGCAGGCGGATCTCTCTGAGTTTGAGGGTAGCCTGGTCTACAGAGTGAGTTCCAGGACAGCCAGGGCTACACAGAGAAACCCTGTCTCAATACAACAAACAAACAAAACAAAACAAAACAAAAACAAAAACAAAAGAGTCTTTCTCTGCCAAACATTTTATGAACCTTCGTGGTGAGATTAAGCATCTGTCGCTCTGGGAAGACTTAATGACAGTCCCCAGACAAGACAAATCTCTCTTTCCACTGATGTCCCCCAGCTCTTGAATGTGCCCCTGTTACACAGATGCTGTGCTTAGAGACTGGATAAACTTTTATAGCTCATGAATTTCTCCTTTTCTGTGACTTGTAGAAATGTATTTTAATTTTTATGGTACTAAAACATCAGTATTTTGTTTGTTTTTGTTTTTCGAGACGGGGTTTCTCTGTATAGCTCTGGCTGTCCTGGAACTCCCTCTGTAGACCAGGCTGGCCTTGAACTCAGAGATCCACCTGCCCCTGCCTCCTGTGCACTGGGATTAAAGGCATGTGCCACCACCGCCGAGCTAAACATCAACAGTGAGCATCTATCCAGCTGCCTTTTAAACAGTAAGCCCACTGCCGTCATAGGCACCCTTGGACTTTCGGATGGTCTGTCTACCTTTGTGAAACCCTTGTCCAGGCAAGACCCTAATACCTCCCTTAGAGTCTGAATGCCTTAGCGATGGGAGTCATCTCTCGTATGTATCTATACATCTCCAAAACAGCATGTAGCAGTGTAAAATTTTAATTTTGATAAAAACATAAACAAAAACAAGCAACAACAGAATCTTAGCATGGGCCTAGATAGGTAAGAGCTGACCCGGTGGGTCAAAGAGCTTGTTGCTCTTGCATGGACTTGAGTTCAGTGCCCAGTACCCACGTCAGGTGGCTCTCAACTGCCTTTAACTCTAGTTCCAAGAGATCTCCTACCCCAGGCCTCCACAGACATGGGCACTCAGGTGCACATAATAAAAATAAAAGAGACCTTTGAAAAGCCTCTCCTGTTGATGGGTGTTGATGGGAGGGGCTAAAGAATGCAGACCAGTCCACCTGCAAGTTACATTTCTTACCAAGATTCGAAGCCCTGACGATGTGCTTGGTGCAATCTTTGCTTTGTAGCCAGCCTCCTGACCACTGTGCTCAGCACCCCTGCTTTCCTGACTACTGAGCTCAGCACCCCTGCTGTCCTGACTATTGTGCTCAGCACCCCCTGCTGTCCTGACCACTGAGCTCAGCACCCCTGCTGTCCTGACTACTGTGCTCAGCACCCCTGCTGTCCTGACTACTGTGCTCAGCACCCCTGCTGTCCTGACTACTGTGCTCAGCACCCCCTGCTGTCCTGACTACTGTGCTCAGCACCCCTGCTGTCCTGACTACTGTGCTCAGCACCCCCTGCTGTCCTGACTACTGTGCTCAGCACCCCTGCTGTCCTGACTACTGTGCTCAGCACCCCTGCTGTCCTGACTACTGTGCTCAGCACCCCTGCTGTCCTGACTACTGTGCTCAGCACTCCCTGTGTCCTGGCTTTCACCCACTAGCATAGTCTAGCGGCTGTGACTGGCCAGTCAGTTTGCCTCTGTTTAGGCTTGTCTCTATGACTGGGTTATGAGTGTGAGTGGTCACCACCCGCTCTTACTAACAGCATCCACATAGTAGGAAGAGCCTGAATCACAGAGCCCTCTAACAAATTATGCCCGCAACATAAAGTAGTATCCTTCATATTTCATTTTTTTTTTTTTTTTTGTGGTGAAGAACCACAAGGAAAATAAAATTTAACTGTAATTCCAGCTCCTTAGGAAGCTGATATAGGAGAACTGCACGTTCAAGGCCAGCCTGGGCAACTTAGTGAGCCATGTCTCATAATAAAAAGTAAAAAGAGGAGCCTGGAGAGACGCTCTTCAGTTTAGAGCATTTGTTGCTCTTGCAGAAAAAGACTGGGAGTTTGATTCCCGGCTCCCATGTGGTGGCTCACATCTGTAACTCCAGTTCCAGGGGATCTGATCCCCTTTTCTGGCCTCCAAGGACACCAGGCATACATGTGGTATTCATACATGCATGCAGGCAGAACATACATACAAAATAAAATAAACCTAAAATTTGCCTAGAGTGAACACAGTCTTGGGGTCAGTCTTCAGTGGCTCACACACGCACAGTGTTCAAATTATGTAGGCAATAAATTTAAATGAATTAGCCGGGCGGTGGTGGTGCACGCCTTTGATCCCAGCACTTGGGAGGCAGAGGCAGGTGGATCTTTGTGAGTTCGAGGCCAGCCTGGTCTACAGAGCGAGATCCAGGAAAGGCGCAAAGCTACACAGAGAAACCCTGTCTCGAAAAACAAAAACAAAAACAAACAAAAAAAAATTTAAATGAATTAATTAGCGCTTTATTTATCTTGAGAGCATCCCTGAAAGTCTCAGTTGAAGAACAACAAAAACAAAATTAAACAACAACAACAACAACAAGCCTGTCTTGGTGCAAGCGGATTTTGACGTGTAGTTTTGTTTGTTTTTTGTTTGAGAGAGTCTTGGTGTGCAGCCAGCGGGCCTGGAAGTGTAGTCCAGGCTGGCTTCAGACTTGCAGCAACCCTCTGCCTCAGCCTCCTGGTGCTGTGATTCCAGGTGTACACCGTCATGGTGGGCAAACAGACCTTATAGAGACAGTTTGCCCTCTTGAAGTCATACCTGGCGTTTGCTCTCTAGAAGATTCGCTTCCCAGGTCCACAGGTCATACAGCACGGCAAACCTGTCCACCCCGGCGTGGGCCCAGTCCCAGTTCAGGCTGCTCTCTGATTTGCTGTCCTCTCTGTGACCTGGGAAGAAGCCAGTGGGTATGGTTAGAGACAGGCCTTCTCAAACGCTCCTTCTCTGAGGAACATGGAGACTATCTGCTCCACCTCAGGAGTAGATCTGAGCCGGCGACTGGGACTCCCCAAAGTCAACTGAGGAAGCCACCTGCAAAGACCAGGCCTGAAGTCCACACTTGTTGACTTCTAAATCAACAGGAGCTTTGTTTTTACTTTCTAAATTTAAAGACTAATTTTAGTAATTCCCCCCCCACCACCCTCACCCCCGCACCCTTTTTGGATACAGGGCCTCACCATGTAGCCCTGGCTGGCCTAGAACTCACTATGTAGATCAGGCTAGCCTGAACCTCACAGAGATCCACCTACTTCTGCCTCGTGAGGACCAGGGCTGGGATTACGAATGTGCACCACCACCCCTAGTTCAGTAATTTTTTGTTGTTGTGAGTCAGAGTCTCATGTAGCTGCGGGTGAACTTCTGACCTTTCTATCTCTACCAAAGGAGTTGAGTCCCAGCAGCATCACAGACATGTCCACCATGTCCACGCAGTGCTGGAGATGAAGCCCAGGGCTTCCTGCATCCTTGGCAAGCACTGTACCAACTGAACTACATCCCAACCCTTTAAAGACTGTTTAGAAATCAAACCAGTTGACATGAAATCTGTGCTGAAACGTCCCTGAATTTACAGCTTTAAAGGCAGACCATACATTTCTCCCTTTTCATAAACTGGCCTCTGGTGTTTAACAACTCAGATGAATGTACTATCTCTCTCTCTCTCTCTCTCTCTCTCTCTCTCTCTCTCTCTCTCTCTCTCTCTCTCTGTGTGTGTGTGTGTGTGTGTGTGTGTAGTGAGTGTGCACAAGAGATCAAGAAAGAGATCAAGAGGTCAACCTAAAGTGTCGTTCCCCAGGAGCCTCTACCTTTTGGGGATGTGTTTTGGGTTCTTTCACTGAGACCTGAGGTTCACCATGTAGGATAAACCGACTGGTCGCCAAGCCTAGGGACCCTCCTGTCTCAGCCCCCTGACCAGGTACTACAGCACTGGCAACCATGGCCAGCTTGGGGCCTTGGGGGATGAACTTAGGTCCTCGTGACTGCAAGACAAGCACTAGTGATGACTGAGCCATTTCCCCAGCCCTATCATTTTCATTAACGTTAACTATGTCAAAAAATCTCCAGAGAGCCTTTTAAGATGTTCCTTAATTATATTAATTGCCACCTTACATCGGTAAAGTTAATCATCATCACCATTTGGCAGAAATATTTTCTATTTGGATTAGTGTTAGCATCACTGCCAACATGATTATTGCTTCCAATCTGTAAGTGGCCTGCTTCGGGAGAAAATATTAGAAAGCAAGAAACATCCAGGTACTGACACATGCGCTGAATAATTCCTGACTCCGTGACAGGGATTTAGCAAGAGACGGGCTCTGTTGACGGTCCTCTCAGGCAGCAGTTGGGAAACCATTTCACAATGGGTGACGATAGTCCTACCAGCCAGCTTCAGGGAAAGATGTCCTTGTGGTTAAACGTGTTTCAACCGAATTAAGTTCTCAGCAGACAGAAATAGTTACAGGGGATTATCAATTAATATGGACACAAGGTGTATGTAACATAACCAGTGAAAATAAAAGCTAAGAGTGAAATGAAACGTTCTAGAATGTTTGGTGCCTGATTCAGATAGTCACAGTTGTAGCAATGACTGCGTGTTCTAATTTGCTCAGTGTCATATTAAATTAACTCCGCCTGGGTTCTCAAAGTCAGTTGTCAAACATTCTTCGAGAAGCATTTTCTAACAGGATGAAGGTGAATCACCTTCTGTCACAGTCTACACTACACACACACACACACACACACACACACACACACACACACACACACACATCACAAATGCCTTCTAAACTCCCCATCCTGGGCTGCAGTGTGTCTAGACGGTCTCAGCTCTTTCCAAGTGCAATAGGAAACGCTACCGAGAAATAGGCTTACCTTCCTTACTTTTAAAATTGGAAGTTTAGGTGATGGTGCCCAAAAGAGGCAAGAATAGTGACTATGGGTTGCTTGGTTAGCCCGGGTCATGAGCCCTCCTTGGACTTGTCCGGCATTACCTAGCCGGATCCCCTTGTATGCCCATGGTTTCCTGTTAGGAACCCAGCGATGTCTCTGCTTCTAAATTCAGTCTCCCCAGCGCCAGTTGGCTCAGGAGAAACATCATTCACTGCACTTGCTCCCTTTGCTCACCCCAGGGTCCTGAACCACCTCCCTTCTACCCAGGGGCGATGTAGAACGTTCCCTGGGTAACCGTAGTTTAACAACCACAAGAATTACAACCGATCCCCTAAAGAGCACAGCTCCATCACAAAGAGAACTGAGCACACACTTGGGTAAGGGGGAGTGAATGCTTACTCAAGTTTTAATGCTATTGTTTGGTCATTGGAGTGTGTCTTTGTTTGTTTGTTTGTTTTCAGTACTGGAGATCTACAAGAGCCTTGTGCACACCAATCAAGTACTCTACCATCGAACTCCATCCCCAGCCCTGGGCAGGTGACTTTTTTTTTTTTTTTTTAATCTGCTTCCTTACTTTTCTCTTTCTCAATGAAATGGCTGGCAATGAGCAGCAGCTCTGACTCCAGCTCCTTCAAATCCTGCAAGGCGTCGTCATACATGATATACAGGCCGAGCTGGTCCTGAGTGTGGACACAGCCAGCTTGCATGCTGTGGAAGTCATCCTGATTTTCAGCTTCCGAGAATTCCAGGAATTGCCCGCCATGGACCTGGGGGAGGAAGGCCAAACCTCAAAGTTACCGGAAAAGGGAGAGCTATATTTTGTTCAGTCCAAACGGCCCAGGCAGTGGGTTTCCCCTCCCACACAGCGGGCTGCTGGGGCCCAACCACACGGGAAGAGCTGAATTATATATAGTCTTCTGTCAAACACTGTCAACTTTTGTTTACTGCAAAGAATTTCAATATTTTCATCTCCCCCACCTTATAAGACCTTTATGCAAATGTTCTAATCCTCCCACCTGGTAAAAAGGTCTGCTGCATTCTCATAATTTAAGAGACCTGAGGGGCTGACCCCTTCCCCCTTTCCTTCATGAAAGACCGTGAGTTCGGTCCCCAGCTAATGGGGACAAGACCCAGTTGCCTGCATTAAATGAAGACCGAGTGAATGTGCCGTCTAGACAAGCTTGCTAGGCACTTTAATTGGAGTAGTGGTCTCTTTCTTTGTGCCCCTGAACTTGTTTCTAACACATACACACACACACACACACACACACACACACACACACACACACACACACACACACACCCTCACTTATGGACAAAGAATGTTAGTTTGTCTTTCTAGTTAATTCCTGAGCAACTGGAACAGGACACTCAGTGGTCCAGGATTTAGGGGGCCTTTGAAGTCACAGGCTGGGCAGAGGACTGCCAGGATCTTACTTACCCTGGATGAACCACTCAGCTGTTCTTGAGTCAATAACAAAATGGGAAGGGTAGGACATCATGATAGGGAAATATTGGGGTGTCTTGGAAAATGATGGAGCCTTTCTCTGCCTTCCCACTCCCGGCTAAGCCCACCAAAAGCTGAAAAACTCGGCAGCCACCAAAGCCACCCTGAGTCAGTGGCTTTCCTGGTCTTGTCTTAGAAATCCAAACAAGGAGATTCATGGACCACAGAATTGTAGTGAGGAACTTCTTACAGACTCACAGTGGGCAGCTTAAAATGGAGAGGGAGCAGGGCTCCCACAGAGCAGGGTGGGTCCCAGGAAACGGGCTACCATCAGATGCTGGCCTGGGCTTTTAAAAGGACTTATGGCAGAAACTGGGGTGAGGTGTAGAAAGAAAGATGAGTTGGTCCAGTTGGCCCAACCAGGTGCCCAGGTGCCTTTGCTCAGTTTCTGTCACTCACTTCCAGTCTTTTGTGGAGTGACATTTAGATGATAACCAACAGAAACGGGAATTCTCTTCTGCACTTCCGGCCTCCAGCAAGGACTTTCCAGAATGACTGCCTTGAGGTTGCAGCCGAATCTGATCAGTCTCCATCTCCCGCTCACATCATTTCTACACTATGCTGATTGTGTGGAATACGGAACACCACATAGGCGGGGCACATTGGATTCATAAACATTAGCTGTTCAAAACATGTTTGTTTTATTTCTGTGAGTTCTGGGCTGGAAAGGCCCAGTGAGTAAAGCAGTAACCAAGAAAATCTGATGGCCTGAGTTAGATCTCCAGAACCCATGTGAAAAAAGCCAGATGTAATGGCACACGTCTGTAATCCCAGCTCCCCTACCTAGAGATGGGGAGCAGAGGCAGAATTGCCCGGCAGCTTGCAGGCCACCTGGCCTGAGTAAGCTGTGCAGCTGCAGAAACCAGAGGGGCTGCCTCGAAGCAAGATGGAAGATGAGGATTCCCGAAAACTGTTCTCGGACACATCCACAAAGTCAAGTAATGTTTAGTTCTTTACGTTCCTCCAAAATGCATTAGCAATCTCAAGTCACAGCAATTTACTGCGTTGGGTAATGTCCCCCAAATTCGTGTACACCTGGAAATCTTTGAACAAGACTTTATTTGGAAACAGGGTCTCTACTGGGTTAGAGTGGGCTCTTATCCAACAAGTGGTGTCCTCACTAAAAGAAGGAATTGGGAGCTGGACACTGAGGGGAGAGGCCCCAAAGCTTAGCACGATTCATCTGTGAGTGCAGGAATGTCCAAGTGGCACACACCTGTGAACCCAGCTACGCCAGAGGCATAGACAGGAGGATCACAAGCCATGGACCGATCTGAACAATTTAGTGAGACCTAGTCTTGAAATAAAATACTAAAAGCTGGAGAGGAGAGCTGGGGATGTAGTTCAGTGGGAGAGAACAAGCCTCGCTTGTGTGAGGTCCCAGGCTTCACTGCTAGTGCCTCACTCAAGAAAATGAGGAGGGTAGGGGTGAAGGGGAAAGAGAGGAGGAGCAGGGGGAGGGGAGACAGGGAAGAGGAAGGGGAGAAAGGAGGAAGGGGTAGGGAAGAAGAAGAGCCAAAGAATGGCAGGAATTGCCTGAAACTCTCAGAAGCTGGAAGAGGCATGGAGGGCTATCCTTTGGAGTCTTTGGAGAAAGTGTGGTCCTGCCATACTTCGGCTTTGGACATGTGGCATCCAGAACTGTGGCCGTCCGTTTCTGCCACGAACCACTCACTCACTGTGGTGTTCTTTGTCGTAGCTGCCCAGGAAATTATCCAATCCAGAACTATTTCAAATGTGTCACCGTTAACGTAGGGTTCCTGAGAATCTTTGAGTTGTACTCTGAGGCGTTTTGGTCCCAGCTACACAAAAGTGACTAACCCAGTCGCTGCCTGGGTCGTGGCTCCCTTACCATCCTGCTTACTTCCCTCACCTTTAAGTTTTCATGGTCGTATGAAAGACCCTCTTTCTAAAGGCTTCCTTTGTGGGCTAGAAAGTTGGTCCTGCCGTATTGTTCTTGGAGGAGTGGCAGGAAAGGGAGGCAGTAATTAGTGTCTGAGTAAGAAATAATACGACCTTTGGAATGATTCATGCATGTTTAAAGTCTGGCTGTTAACTGAGACCGGGGGTAACTATTTGAGGAAGAAAGTAACTACAGGAAAACCAGTGGCTGCCATTGGTTTGACACCCAAAGTGGTTCCTGCTCCTACTTACTAATGTGAGCTTCGGGTCTTTTTGCAATGTAGATGGCTGTGAGTTCAAGGCCAGCCTGGCCTACAGAGCTAGTTCTAGGACAGCTAGGGCTACACAGCGAAACCCTGTCTTCAACAACAACAACAACAACAACAACAAATCCATATCTCCTCTTCCTTTTGTTACGTGAGCATCCAGTAAGCACCTCCAACTTCTCAAGTCCTATGTGGGATTCTGACCTTCCCAATCAAATCTCAGCCGATGACAGCGACTCCAGACTTCCAGTGCTCAGGTCAAAGCAGCTTTGGAACCTCTCTAGACTTCCGGAAGTCGTTCTGGCTGTATCTTTAACATACACTCACACGCTGTCTAATGCCTGCTTTGTTCTGATGTGCTGTTAGGTCATTCCACTGTTGCACGACCACCGTTGAATGTGTTTGTTCAACTCTAGGTTGTAAAGCCTACTACATACATGGTACAGCTTCTTGGTTGTAGGCCGTAAATCTGGACAGCACATTCCTGTACTCAGTGTGGTAGATAGTCATAACAGAATCATAAACATTTGGATATGGGCACATCGAAACAGGTTTGCCAGCACCATACCACAGACACTGCCATCGCGATGGCTACAGTGTCCCCACGCAACAGACGCTTCTCAGCTTAGGAGAGAAACAGTCTTCTGAGGCCACTGAGCGTGATCCACCATTGGCTGAGATATGGTCACATGGTACACGAGCTTATGTTCAGAATCTACCATCTCTCTCTTTTTTTTTTAATTCAAGGATTAATTATTTGGATATTGCATGGATGTTTTGTCTGCATGTATGTATGTGTACTCTGTGTGCCTGGCACTAGTGGAGACCGGAAGAGGGTGTCAGATCCCCCTGGAACTGGATTTACAGATGGTATAAGCTATCACGTGGGTGCTGGGGACTGGACCCAGGGCCTCTGCAAGAACAAGAGCTCTTAACCACTGAGCCATCTCTTTGGCCCGGGATCTGTCATTGTTTACTGGCGCTTTTCTCAGACACGTTGTCTTGGAGTTGATTAATGAAGCGGTCTCCTATCGCGGCTCTCTGCAAAGCCCTGGAGTGCCCTTCGGCTGCTCCCAAAACAACGGAATGAGTGGTAACATGGAAGTCATACCGCACCACACTTCCGTTTTAAACTCTACAAGGGCTCCCTTCTGGCTCAGAGTTCAAGCCAGAATGCTCGCCATGGCTCACAAAACCTCGAAGAATCTTCCTTCACCTCTCAAGGCTCATTGCCTGCTGCTTTCCCCTTGTCCACCCTGGTCACACTGAACTCCTTGATGTCCCTGCAATGGGCTGGACACAGCCCTGCCCGGGGCCTCTGCATTGACCTTCTCTCTGCTGGGCGCTCTACCGGTCAGTCAGATTGCTTCCTGAGTTCCTTCAGGTCTTCCCTCCCACAGTGCCTCCTTTGTGAGACTCGCCCCTTCACCTCCTCACCAGGAGCATCCACTGCCCACTTCACGTTCACCAGGAGTGTCCACTGCCCACTCCACATTCACCAGGAACACCCACTGTCCACTGCATGTTCACCAGGAGCACCCACTGCCCACTCCATGTTCACCGGGAGCACCCACTCTCCACTCCAGCACTCTTGGTTCTCCTTTCTTAACTTTTCTCCATTGCGCCCTCACAATCTTCAGTGGTCCACAAAGGCCACGTTACCCCGTTGTCAGCAGCTCTAAAGCTCGGTGGCTGGAAGTAAACTTCTCACTCAGAGAGAGCCATTGCAGGGCCAGAGGCTCTCTAGGCTGTTGCCCTGTATCAGCAACCAAGGGTGGCAATGTTTCCCTCCTGCCTTGTGACCGTCGCCTTCTACCGGCTGAAGCAGGAGAAGACAGCAGAGGGTGTGGACCAGCTCCTGAGTGCTCTGCTCCGACACTGACACGTGGCATTTCTGCTCACAGCTCAAAGCTAGTCACAGCCTCACTCAACTACAAGAGCTAGGAAGTCTAGGGAAACTCTGGTGCCAAATCAGCCTATATTTGATACACATTCTATGTTTATTTAATGTCTCTTGCTGCGTGGTAAGGTCCCTTATGGCGGGAATTTGTGCTAGTTTTCTGTGCTGCTATACCCCCGTGCCTAGACTAGAGCCCAATATAGTTATTAGTCAGCACACTTGTGGGAGAAAGAAAGGAAGAAAGGAAGGAAGGGAGGGAGGGAGGGAGGGAGGAGGGAAGGAAGGAAGGAAGGAAGGAAGGAAGGAAGGAAGGAAGGATGGATGGATTGGCTCACAGCCTATGGGAATAGATAAGCCAATAGCTGGGCACAGCTCTGCTAGACCCTAAGACAAGCTGATGAGCCATTAGATGAAGCCCTCGCTCTACATAGAGATATAAAGAAGGGCCTCGCGGAGAGATTTTTGGACTGGACTCGAGTCAGAATACACATTTGCCAAGGAGAGAGTGGGGGTGTGTGTGACAAAGGAGCCCCACCCACCTCGTGGAGATTCTAAAGGCAGCAGAGGGAAGTGAGGTCTGAGTTCAGCAGGGGCCAGGATGTGCTCAGCCTTATAAATGTCTCCAAGAAGCCTGGTCTTCCCTTGTGGAGAACAGGAAACTCATCAAGGACTTCCAGCAAAATAGCAATCATGTTTACATTTGGGCAAAGACCCTGAGAAACTTATAAAGCAATGAGGGAGACATTCTTCTCTTTAAAATCCTCCATTTCCCACTACCTTAGGAGCTGGTCTCACATCCAAGGAAAGCCAAGCCCCCAGTGGTCTGGCTCACTCTGTCTAGAGGCCTCACCTCCCACCACTTCTTCTCAAAAGCTGCCAACACACCCTGAACTCACCGTGGGCCCTCAGGCTCCCATGACTGAGGAGCCAGCCACAGGCAAGTCCCAACACCAGGAGAAGTCCCTCAACAGGGCTTCTTCTTCTACCCTGCCGTGGTAAGCAGGCACATAAAATGACAAGGTGGCCGAGAGGCTGTAGATGACTTCTTTTGCTAGCACTACTGTTGAGTAAACACTCATTAACATTAGCCAAGATGTTCCTTGTGGGATCAGAACAGGGGCTGAAGGAATGTGCTGGGGAAGAAGCATCCACCTTGGGAGCTGCACCCAGCTCCAATAAACTAGCTTGTCTTTCTGCTTAGTTCCTGGGCTTGAGGAGATGAATGCAGCGGATGGCATCTGGACCCCTCCTCCCCACCCCCAAGGCTGGACATCCTAGTGTAAACATTTGATCCTATTAAAGACCCGACAGAAGGTCCTGCCTGGGGTGTCTCACACTAAAGCAATAGCCGCTGGGGGTGTTTTCAGTGTGATGTCTATCATTTATGAGAGAACAGAAGTGACATGCTGCAAAGCCCCACGATGCTGGTCCTACAGTTAGTAGGGGAGGATGGGTATTTGTCCTCTGTGGTAGTTTGAATAGTGTTGGCCCCCATAAGCTCATACGGAGCGGCATTCGTAGGAGGTGTGGCCTTGTTGGAGGAAGTGTGTCACTGTGGGGGCGGGCTTTGAAGGCTCATATATGCTCAAGCCATCACACCCAGTGTCTCAGTTCACTTCCTGTTGCCTGTAGGTCAAAATGTAGAACTCTCAGCTCCTTCTCCAGCACCATGTCTGCCTGCATGCCACCATGTCCCGCCATGATGATAATGGACTAAACCTCTGAAACTGTAAGCCAGCCCAGTGAAATGTTTTCTTTTATAAGAGTCCCCGTGGTCATGGTGTCTCTTCACAGCAACAGAACACTGACTGAGAGAGCTTTCCTCACTCTAAATCAGAACAAAGCAGGAGAAGACCTTTTGTAAGGACAGTTTTTAAAACTCTATTAGCATAGTATCTTGTTGTGGGATATGTGTACACTGTGTGAGGTGTATCGCTGTGATTGGTGTAATAAAAAGCTGAACAGCCAACAGCTAGGCTGGAGTGAGTTATAGGCAGGACTTCCGGGGAGAGAGAGGAAGAAGAGGAGGAATCGAGGCACGCAGGAGACACAGAGAGGAAACAGGAGGCGCAAGACAGAAGAGAGGTAACACCACGTGACAGACCGTAGATTAATATAAATGGGTTGATCTAAGTCATAAGAGCTAGTTAGGAACAAGCCTAAGCTTTCATAATTAATAAGTCTCCATGTCATTATTTGTGAGCTGACGGCCCAAAGGAAAATTCAACTACAGTATCTGTCATCGAAGCTGTGGTAGGATCAACATAGGAAAGAGAAAGACACACTTGTGTCTGTTGGAAGTGAGTGTTGAGCCTCTTCCGTGGGTCCATGAAGGAGTGGCCAATCGGGCCTGTGATTGAGCTCAGAGGAGGAAGGAAGCTGAGGAATGAGGTGATCAGAGCAGAAGCTGGAGTCTGGTGAAGGAGGAGGAGAATGTTGTCCTGGATACTGAGTGGAAGACTCTAAGGGACTGGGTGAGGAAAAGAAAATATTCCCCAATATCCAGAGCTGCACTGTCCAACACGGTCGCCTCAAGCCAACACGCTTTCTGCAGATGATATGTGCCAGGTTCTAAAGAATTCAAATGAAAGTATGTGTCCTATCCCACCAACGATTTTTAATATTGATTACACGCGAGAATAATGTATCTTGTACATGGGGTTACATGAACTGTATTAAAATTAATTCCACATGTTTCTTCCCGTTTTAAATGTAGCGTGTTTAAATGTAGGACATTTTAAGTTATGCACATTGCTCTCATTATGCTCCTATGCCCAGAGAGAGCCGTCTACGCTCTGTCCACATGACGCAGCAGTTAACAAAATTCCCTGTCTCAGAGGTGCGGCAGGCTTATGTCATTGGCCACAGTCCAGAGTATGACTTGTCTGAAGCCAAGTAGGTTCCACTTTTTACATTTGTCCATCTACTTTCATTCTCCTTAAAAATTTTAATTCATTTTAAAAACATTTATGTACTGTATGTGCGTGTATGCTCATACCACAGAGAGTGTGTAAATGCACATATACATATCACAAGTATGGAGGTCAGAGGTCAACTTACAGGAGTCAGTTTTTCCTACCACCATTTTAGCCCTAGGGATTATACTCAGGTCATAATTTCTTGAAAGCAAGCACCTTTACCCAACAAGCCATCTTGCTGGCCTTTGAATTCTTCTTTTTCAAGACAGTCCCACCATACAACCCAGGATGGGCTCCGTGATCCTCACCTCTGGAGTACTCGTACTACTGGCTGTGTATGAAACACTGTGCCTGGCTTAATCTAGTATCCTTTGGGAAAGAGGGATCAGAAAGTCTCCTGTAGCCAGGTCTGGCCCCCAGCCACGTGGGGGAAGATGACCCTGAACTCCAGATATTTCTACCTGGACCTCAGCAGGTGCTAGGATTATACTCATGCATCACCACATTTGGCTTAGTCTAGCATTGTTTTAAAAGACTTGAAAACAAAAGGGTGTGTGTCCCATTGCCAGAGAGAGTCTTGTAGGGATTTTGTGAGAACATGTGAGACTCAGGCCAGGAGAGGGAAGGACTTCTCACATTCTGCTCCCTATGGAACCAACTACCCTGTGGGTCAACTCTTTCCTTCCCGATTGGCTCCAGAGCACTCTGCTCTCCTGCTCTCCTGAGCTCACGCGGTCACTGTCAGGGTGCGTTTATTAGCTTAGCTTTGAGACAGGGTCTCAATGCACACACGGCTCAAGTGGATCTAAAACTCAGGTACCCCTGCTCAGCTTCCCATGCTGTGATTACAGCAAAGTCACCACACTCGGGTACCCCTGCTCAGCTTCCCACACACTGTGATTACAGTAGAGTCACCACACTCAGATAACCCTGCTCAGCTTACAGCAGAGTCACCACACTCGGGTACCCCTGCTCAGCTTCCCACACACTGTGATTACAGCAGAGTCACCTCACTCAGGTACCCCTGCTCAGCTTCCCACACACTGTGATTACAGCAGTCACTTCACTCAGGTACCCCTGCTCAGCTTCCCACACACTGAGATTACAGCAGAGTCACCTCACTCGGGTACCCCTGCTCAGCTTCCCATGCTGTGATTACAGCAGAGTCACCACACTCGAGTACCCCTGCTCAGCTTCCCACACACTGTGATTACAGCAGTCACCTCACTCAGGTACCCCTGCTCAGCTTCCCACACGCTGTGATTACAGCAGTCACCTCACTCGGGTACCCCTGATCAGCTTCCTACACGCTGTGATTACAGCAGTCACTTCACTCAGGTACCCCTGCTCAGCTTCCCACACGCTGTGATTACAGCAGTCACCACACTCAGGTACCCCTGCTCAGCTTCCCACACGCTGTGATTACAGCAGTCACCTCACTTAGGTACCCCTGCTCAGCTTCCCACACGCTGTGATTACAGCAGTCACCTCACTTGGGTACCCCTGCTCAGCTTCCCACACACTGAGATTACAGCAGTCACCACACTCAGGTACCCCTGCTCAGCTTCCCACACGCTGTGATTACAGCAGTCACCTCACTCGGGTACCCCTGCTCAGCTTACAGCAGAGTCACCACACTCAGGTACCCCTGCTCAGCATTTTTATATGGCCCTCGTTGCCCTCTCTTGTCTGCTGGTCCCCATCCCCCAGCTCCCACTTCTAAATGGTTATTCTCAGTCAGGTTTATTTAGCTTAACATGACTCCCCACCTGTTACTTCCCTGTGTTAACTGATTGTAATGCTAAGAAAAGATAGTTTGGAAGACATACTAATCAGGGCATAAAACCTCAGCCGAATAGCTCACCTTGTGCTCAGCAGGTGTCCCATGGATATAGTGGTGAGCACCTAGGCCTTGCGAGGTGCCCAAGCCTCCTTTTGACATATTTATCCAAGAATTATCTCCCATGGTGGGGACCAGGTTCCCTGAAACCAAGGTAAGGCCTGAAGTGTTAATTGTCAAAGTTCGCTCCACGGATCTGAAGTAGTTAAGAACTCCCAGACAGGCGCGCTGGAACAGAGGGAGAGTAGAATCAGGACACCGCCCTGTGCTTTGCCCTACAGAGCAGAACTTGATGGGGACTTGAAGGGGGCAGCTCTACTGTGTAAAAAGGAAGGTACCATCCCTGGAAGGGACAGATTTCACATACACACACACACACTCAATCAAAGAGTTGCTGGGCAGTGGTGGCACATGCCTTTAATCCCAACACTGGGGAGGCAGAGGCAGGTGGATCTTTGTGAGTTTGAGGCCAGCCTGGGCTACATAATGAGTTCCAGGACAGCCAGAGCTGCTTCACAGAGAAACCCTGTCAGGAAAAACTAAACAAAAATCAAAGAATGAGTGCATTGCTATTAAAGGCAGGAACCCCCATATTCTAGACAATCAGGCATCTCCAGGAATGAAGCCAGGCATGCCTTCGTGCCCACACCTGTAGCTCCCGGATGTGCAGGTGGCGCAGACACAGGAAAGATAAGTAGGCCCCTCTCAGCAGGACAGGATTCCGGTCAGGCTCCGTCTCATCACTCAAGCCCAGCAGCTGGAGGGTCACAGCATAGTTGTATCTTTAGCACACAGAAGACATCGTATGAGCACATCTCACCTCAAGACAGTTCAGAAAATCCGCACATCCCATGGCGTCTGTGACTGAACTGAAGGGGATTTTCAATAGCTACTCTGGAAGGAAAATAATTGCTTCATATGCATAAATATAAAAAGTCATTTCACTAAGCAATTACCCTTTTGAAAGACACAGTCCTGGGGAGAAACATGAATTCAGATATCTGACCCATGTGAATAGCTCTGCTTTCCTTTCGACTTCAAATGTTTTTGAGATAACATGTAAACAACACACTCATCAGTCACTCAGTTTTCCTCACAGTTTTAAATCCATTTCCATGAATCACCAATGTTCAGATGTAATTACCCTGTCCCTGGTTTCTGCTTGAGAGATCCATCAGAACTTTGGCTGAGATGTATTTTTGCAATGTTGTCGTTGCTGGGTTCCACCGAGAGACCATCATCCTTCACATTTTCATGCTATCAAAAAATAGTGTTAGTTCAAACATTTGTGTTACTAACAAAATCACAGGTCATCATAAAGTAAATGTCATGATCCAACACAGTAGGTGTGTCAGTAAAAGTGTCTTAATTCTAACCAGCATATGAAAATCTAGGTTTCTACAGTAAATGACCAAGTAACTGTAACTGTTTTTACCAGATAAATGTTTTATTGACATCTTTTGTATAAAACCCATCCCATTTCTTGTCTTTTACATGGTTCACTTTACAAAAAAATACTTGATAAAACATTTTTCAAGACCACATATGCTTGGACCTTTGAGTTGTATTCTCTCTCTCTCTCTCTCTCTCTCTCTCTCGTGTGTGTGTGTGTGTGTGTGTGTGTGTGTGTGTGTGTGTGTGTGTGTGTGTGTGTGACACATGGGGCTGGGTCATATGTGTGTAGAGATCCGAGATCAACCTTGAATGTTACTCTTCAGGAGCGGTCCATCTTGTTTTTGGGGGTCTCGCACTGGCACTCAGAGCTCATTGATTGGTTAGACTGACTGGCCAGCAAATCCCAGAATCCTGGCTGATCCAGCTCCCAGTGCTGGGATGTCAAATCTGTACACCACGCCCAATGTCTTAGTTAGGGTTTCTATTGCTGCAACCAAACACCATGACCAAAAGCAACTTGGGTTTATTTATCACATTTCCACATCACTGTTCATCAACAAAGGAAGTCAGGACAGAAACTCAAACAGGGCAGGAACCTGAAGGTAGGAGCTGATATAGAAACCATGGAGGGGTGCTGCTTACTGGCTTGCTTCCCATGGTTTGCTCAGCCTGATTTCTTATAGAACCCAGGACCACCAGCTCAGGGATGGCACCTCCCACAATGGGCTGGACCCTCCCCCACTGATCACTAATTGAGAAAATGCCTTACAGCTGGATCTCAAGGAGGCGTTTCCTCAACGACAGCATTCCCTCCTGTCCGATGACTAGCTTGTGTCAAGTTGACACAAGACCAGCCAGTACACCCGACTTGGACCTTCAGCTCCCTCGGCAAGTACCTTATGTCTTTCTAGTTCCTAGACCTGGTTTTTAACAAGAGAAGATTTGGCTAGAGCTATTCGTGGGTGGCCATGTAACCTGTAGCATATAACAGAAAGGCACACTATTAAAAAGAACAGCAGAGAGAACAGGGAGATGGCTCAGAAGGCTTGCTGCACAAACGTGGAAATACATGCTCAGTCCTCAGTCCCTGTGTAAAGTCTGTGACACAGGCCTGTCATCTCAGCACTCGGGGGTGGAGGCAGGAGGATCTCTGGGGCTTGCTGGCCAGTCAGCCTAGCCAATCAGTGAGCTCCAGGTTCAGTGAGAGATCCTGTCCCCAAAAATAGGGTGGATAGAGGTCGAGGGAGACACTTGGCATTGGCCTCTAGCCTCCAATGTGCATGTGTGTATACACACACACACACACACACACACACACACACACACACACACACACACACAGAGAGAGAGAGAGAGAGAGAGAGAGAGAGAGAGAGAGAGAGAGAGAGCAGTAGAGACAGATTTTCCAGATATATTATCACATAGAAAAATCAAGTTACAGAAAGATATTCACAGGGAATGACATGTTATTTAAATAGGAAAGGAAATCCGAACACAAAACTCTCCTGTATGTATTTTAACAGATGTATTCATATGGATGGAAGCAGTAATGACATGTCATAGAGATGGGGGCTGAGCATAGGGGTGGGGCAGTCAGAAGAAATTTAGCTTCTCACTTATGTTCGAATGTTCTAGAAGGATAAGAGTTTATTGCAGAGCATGGTGGCCCACACCTTTAATCCCAGCACTTAGGATGCATCTCTGTGAGTTCAAGGTCAGCCTGGTCTATACAGAGAGTTCAGGACAGTCAGGGTTACAGGGTGAAAACTGGTCTCAAATGAAAAACCAAAACCAAAACAAACAAAAAACTCATTAAAAATTATTTTAAGAAAGAAATGGTGCCTACAGTGAGGAAGCCTGGCAGATGCCCCAAAGTTAACGAAGTGGACAAAATTAACATGGCTTCTGAATTTGTGGTGACTTGTGCTGCTGACAAGCTCCAAGAGCATTCTGCTTCCTCAAACCCACACCCGTACACACACGTACAGAGTGGCCATGAGATTACTCCCCCTCATTCCCCCCAACACACTGTGGTCGTGAGATTACTCCCCCCCAACCCCCCCCCACAGTGGCCATGAGATTACCCCCCCTCAAACACACACACACACACACACACACACACACACACACACACACACACACACACACACATACACAGTGGCCATGAGATCACCCCCCACACACACAAACATATACTGTGGTCATGAGGGAAACAAGCTCCCATTAAGAGTCCCTCTACAATGTGCCTGGCCAGAACCTGGAAAGACTGTGGAGGTCGTGATAAACAAGGAAAGACTGGGACGCTATGGAAGGCAGATGAGCCCTGGCAGATCAACTAAACAGAAAAGGGGCACCGGAAAAAGGCTGCAGCAGAGAGGGGCATTCCCGGGGAAAGTGGGCGAAATCTGCCTGCACTTGGCTGAGCTGACAGTGTGCACCAGGGTTGGTCCTCGGTCGACAGATGCACCGTGATAACGTAACATAGGAGTGACAGGAGAACCCTTTGCAGCTTTTCTGTAAGCCTCGAACTGTAAAAAATTGCCAGGCGGTGGTGGCACACGCCTTTAATCTCAGCACTCAGGAGGCAGAGGCAGGCGGATCTTTGTGAGTTCAAGGCCAGCCTGGTCTACAGAGCGAGATCCAGAACAGGCAAAAAGCTACACAGAGAAACCCTGTCTTGAAAAACCAAAATAAATAAGTAAATAAATAATAAAAAATCGTTTTATTAAAAAATGAAAACCCTAAAGGAAGCTTCACTGACAAACAGCTTTCCCTCCAAGGCTGCGCTACAATTAACTAACGACTGCGTTCTCTCACAGCGGCCAAGGCGCCCAGATCGGCCTTCCTCTGTGCGGAGCACCCTTGAGAAAGATGCTTGCCCTGGCTCTTAGCTGGCAAGTGGCAGCTCGAGTCTGGGTGCTGACCCCGCACACAGGCGCTAACAGGAGCTCCACAGCTGCATGCTTGCAGAACACCACCCAAGCAAGCCTCAGGTCCATGCCCACATTCCAGGGCCCCTCCCAGGTGCCTCTGTTTACCCAATCCTGATTTCACCTGACTGCTACTCGACATTCAGAACGGCAATGTGAGTCCGTGCGGGTCTTGAGTCTGCATAAAGTGACAGCAATACTTGCAGAGGTCACAAATTATGACTCATGGGAAAATTCAGCATAAAAAAAAGTTGGTTGTTGACTCAGGATTTCTTTTCTCAGTGCTGTCTTCCAGCCTGCTCGGAAAGCTCTTTTCCAGGCAGTTTGTGTGCCTGGCTCTTCTTCACACTCAGGTCTTAGCTCGCACACACCCCATCCTAGATGGCGCTGGGCCCAGTATGTCCCCCCACAACGTTGTTTTCTGCCCCATAGTTTTCCTCTTGGTGCTCACAGGTCAGAGACACACTTGCATGTCCATGTTTATTCATTTTCTGTGTGCTGCCTCCCGGGAGCAAGGGCTGAGTATGATCCGTTCCTGGAGCCCAGCACAGTTCCAGGCGTGGGGAAACTTGCTGAAGGTAGAGAGGATGGGAGGGAGGGAGGGAGGGAACAGGCAGGCAGGCTAATATGTAGAGTGATGTGTGTGTGTTATCTGTCTCCAGCTCCAACCCTGGAATCTGAACATTTATGAGTATTCTAAGCCTCTTTATGATCTATGCACCATAAATCAACTTGAAAACACAGTGGTTATGTTTGTGTCTTTGGCCAATTCCAAGAATAACATCCATAAGTCAGCAAATAACCAGAGGAAGTATTTCCCTTCCTTCCTCCCCTCCCTCCCTCTCCCTCCCCCTTACTCTCTCTCCCTCCCCCTTACTCCCCCTCCCATTTCCCTTAAGACAGTGTCTCACTCTGTACTCCAGGCTGCCCTGGAACTCTTGGCAAACCTCCTGCCTTATTCTGGGATTATAGGTGTGAGTCACAGTGCCTGGCTTCCTCCCTCCCTTTCTTTTTAACACTGGGAAGACTGCCTTCATCACAGCTGTGATGAGAGAAGACAGCACCCCATCCCACCTGACTTCCCCTCCCCCCACAGCCCCCTCCCAGGGAAGGAGCAGAGCTGAGGTAAACCTGTGAGTTTCTCCTCTCCTCTGGCCCAGCAAAGGCCAGCGAGAGCCTCCCTCCCGCACTTTCATTTCCAACACAGCTTCCCACATAGCTGCCTTGACTTAGGCTTTCTGCTGCCAGACACCTAGCCATGCCACCCTTAGTTCTCACCAGACACCTAGCCATGCCACCCTTAGTTCTCACCAGACACCTAGCCATGCCACCATTAGCTCTCACCGTGAGCCCTCTGCTTGCCGCCACACGGTCCCATGGAGTCCCCTTTGGCCTCAAGTGCCACCAGCACTCCTATCCCCAGTCCGTTGCAGCCCAGTGGCACCTAGACCTCACTCTTGGGCACATTTTCAAACATCTAACTCCACCGGTCTCCCAGTCCCTCTCTCGCTCTTACCTGCCTCTTTTAAACCATTAGGCCCCTGAACGGTAGCTCTTTCTGCTTTCTGAGCCAGTGAGAAAACAAATTTGTCATCATGCGCTTCAGGTTTTCTGTGTGTTTAGTTTTTCTTTTCCTTTTTTTTTCTTTTTTCTCTTTTTATTTTTAGACAGGATCTCACAAAGCCCAGAACAGCTTTAAACTTGCTGTGTAGAGAGGATGACCCCAAAACATCTGTCTTCCCGCCTCCATCTCCCAAGTGCCAGGATGACGGGAGTGCGTCATCACATCCGTCACCACATCCAGGCCCTCGGATGTTAATTCCTGAAATCTCAGGTACAGGGCGAGTCATTGGCCTCTGGGGTAAACTGTCCAGCACCCATGAAGCCGAGGCTCAGAGGCACCCTGGGCTGAATGCCCAGTCTCTTCTGCCTTCTCCTCCACCCTCTGCCCTGTCTGTTTGGTGAGGAAGCAGAAGACTCAGGAACTTTTAATGTCCCCTTGTTGGTATTCTTTCCTCTCCACAGTGACATATATACCACAGGACAAAACGGCAACGTCAGCCCTCGGCACTGGCAAGATGCCAGCTGAGGAAAGCGCATACTGATAGCTGGGTGTGCCACGGAGGAATCTGGGGGCCGGGGAGACCTGGGCTGACATGCCACGTCTACTGCTGACCTCTGGGGCCAACTCGTTTCTCATTGGGTTCTCTAGATCTGCAATCGGCAGATTAAAAATGACGCCAAAGTGCACGTGTGTGTGTGTGTGTGTGTGTGTGTGTGTGTGCGCGCGCGCACGTGTTGTGTTTGTGTTTGCTTCTAAACGCTTGAGAGCTCACCAGAACCCTTCGGGTCCCACTTTCTACAGCCTGGAATGTAGATGTCCAGGATGTCCGCCAGCCTTCTCCACTTCCCCACTCCTTTAGTTTTCTATGATTTTCCATCCCTCTACAGTTCACTTTAGAAGTTCAAGCAACAGAATTATACCAAAGGAGCTCCAGGGGCTGTTAGCTGTGCGGCTCTCCCTGATGGTCCTGCAGGTGTCACCATAGAGCTCCTCATGGGTCCTCTAACTTTCTGGAGAATGCAAACATCCCTCTCTCGCCCCCAGCAGGGACCAGTCACAAGTGCCTGCATCCTAACCTTGTACTCACCTCCGGGGGGGGGGGGGGGGGGGGGGGGGACGGGACGTGACACCATATCCCTTTCTCGGGGTCACCCCTCTGGCTGTTTCTTCACGCCCTCCCCCCTTGTTCCCCCCAGCTCACCCACTTCCCACTTCCTTTCTTTCATCTCCTTTTTTTTTTCTAGCAACCTTTCCTTTCGGACTATGAACACAGTTGGGTCTTCCCATCCAAAGCAAGCTAATAGGTCACAAAACAACAATAGCAAATTCTAGTTGCAAAAGCATATGGCACCAAGGTCAAGACAAATGGCCGCTAATGCTGTGTGCAGAAACTTCCTCTCACAGCTCAGCTTCATGCCTTTCTCAGAAAAAAAAAAAAAAAAAAAAAAAAAGCCACCTACTGGCTTCCCTGAATTTGATCTCTTCCCCCTTCAATCTAACTCACATGCTGCTGCCACACGAATCCTCCTAAAATACCCTTCTGCGTAGACCACTCCGAGCTTACAGGACACCGGACTCTTTAGTCTGGTGTTATGGGCTTTCATAACCTGGCTTTCCTTCTGCATCAAAAGCGTGGCTTCTCTTTACTATGGTGATATTTTATTTGTGCTGAAATGTGATTTTATTTGTATGTTAATAAAGTTGCCTGGAGATCAGAAGTCACAGCGAGCCATAAGTGGTAGTCAGGTGGTGATGGCACACGCCCTTAATCCTCTCACATGGCAGGCAGAGTCTCTGTGGTCAAGGACATAGCCAAAGCAAGGTGACCCAAACTTTTAATCTCAGTTCCAACCATAGAGACCTAGAGGTCTGTATAGACAGACAGTGATGAGGAAGTCATGTGGTTGGGTTTAGAGCCAATGAGAAGGCAGAACAGAAAGGTAACAAAAAGACAGGACACAGGAAGAAGGTCTCTCTCTCAGGGGAAGGATGGCAGCAAGTGGTAAGATCAGGTGGTCTGAGTTCCTGGCTCCTGCTCTGATCTCTGGGCTTTTAACTCCACACTTCACTGTACTTTTTCACCCACATATGCCCTCTTTTCATGGTCTATGCCAATTCTCTTCTTATTTTTTGGTGCTTCCCATAGCAGTCCATGCTGTTACACAGTCCCACAACAACACACAAGGGTTCCATTGCTGGGTTCTCAGCTCTAGTCAGCACAGGACTTGCAGCCTTGCCGGTGTGGATCTGTGGAAGGCTATGGCAGGTAGAATGAGGGGGATACAGTGGACATCTGTATGCTCCTCTTTCTGATTGTGACAATTAACCTGCGTAGATAAGAGAGCTTTGAGGCAGAAGGTGAATTCCTAAAGGTGGCACACGGGGCCAAAGGGAGGAAAGGGCAAACAGACCATGGGTTCCCGTCCTACCTGGTAGAGCCTGGTGTTGCTATAAATATTCTGCCAGACTTGATCATAGTCACACAGATGCAAAGCCTGAGAGGTTGTGGAAGATGAGCGATGCGGAGCCATAGTCACTGTCTTCACAGCGTGATCCTGGAGCACTTGCAAGACTTTCCCGGGGTCAGAAATCTTAAGTAGAGCAGGGAGAAGAGGTGATGAGCAGACACAAGAAGGCCCCCTTCGTTTCTTGTTTTCCTAACTGCAGTTATTTATTTTGTGTGTGTGTGTGTGTGTGTGTGTGTGTGTGTGTGTGTGTGTGTGTGTGTGTGAGAGAGAGAGAGAGAGAGAGAGAGAGAGGAGACTGTGTGTGTGTCATCTGTGTGTGTGTGTATCCGTGTATGTATGTGCGTATCTGTGTATATGGTGTCACAGCGTGCATGTGCAGGTCAGAGAACAGTTTATGAGAGTTTGTTTTCTCCTTCCATCATGTGGGTCCAGGGGATCAAACTCCAGTTGTCGGGCTTGGAAGCAAGGGCCTCTACCGACTGAACCATCTTACTGGCCCCTGGATCCCTTCTCAAGAATCTGGAAGGGGCCTTAAGTGGGACTTCATTCTTTCAAAAACATTAGGGCCGAGGACATGGCACAGTTGAGAGAGTACTTGGCTAGCATGCATGCAATGATAGGTTCTATCTCCCTCACCACATGAACCTGCCATGGGTGGTACACACCTGTAATCCCAGCACTGGGGAGCTGGATGCCAGAGGATCAAGAGTTCAAGGCCATCCTTAGCTACACAAGGGAGTCTGAGGCCAGACTGGAATACACGAGACCCCGTGTTAAAAAGCAACTAACTTAAACTCAAACATTGTGGTTACCCAAATACATGCATCCATTTGACACCATATAAACTCAGATACACATGGCAGCTTATTCAAAACTCAGAGGCAGCCTCCAGGACAAGATCAGAGAGCATCCTCACAAGCGTTACAGGTGGAAAGAGAAACCCGTCAGCTCTGGGTGCAAATTCGTCCTGTGAGCAAGCGGCAGGCGACGGAGAAGAATGGCACGAGGCCAGCTCAGGCTTCCTAAGGACACAGCCTGAGGCCAGGTCCCTGGGAACTGCTGCCTTTACCACACAGGCCAGTGCATGTCAACCTGACATCAACACTAATGGTCTCCCTCTTCCTGGATTGCTGTAAGACGCCCAGCGCGCAGCAGGTGAATAAACATCCCCTCTCTTCTGGAGGTAAAGAACTGAATAATGTCCCAGGACCGACCTAACAATGACACTCAGACTACTGCATCATTTTAATATCACAAAGAATTCTAAAGGTCGTCTATTCCAGTCCCGTCAAAATCCCAGAGACGTGTGTTCCAAGCTTAGGAAAAGTTCATCATAAAATTCACGTGGAATCTCAAGAAACCCCCAAGAGCCAAACAATTTTGAAAAAGAATAAGGCTGGAGAACTCACACTCAAGTTTAGAAAGTGTCAGAAATAAATAGCAGTCAGAATAGTGTGGCATTTCTGATACCTCAGACGAGTGTAATCACGCATTTCTCAACCTTTCCATGACTGGCTTACTCGTTAGTACCATGTCTTTGAGGGGCATTCATGTTGGAAAATTTGTTAGAAATGTCTTCCCTTTCAAGGCTAAGTAATAATCCCTTTGTCAGAATTAAATAGTAGAAATAAATAGAAGTCGAAATAGGACAGGCCACAGGTCAACGGAGCTCAGAGATAAACCCTCACGCACATGGTCACAGAAAGGATACTGTCCGCATTAATGGTGCTGGAAAACCAAATGGCCACATGCAAAATAATGAAGTTTTATTCTTGTATGTAAAAGTTGACTTGTATGAATTAAAGACATGAAGTTAAGCCCTGAAAGTATAAAACTTCAGAAGAAAACTGGAAAGCTCCATACTAATGGATTCAGCAATTTTCTGTGAGTTAAAAATTTTTTAGACTTATTTATTTTATTTAATATATTTGAGTATTTGACCTGCATGTATGTATGCGTACCACACATGTGCCTGGTGCCTCTGGAGGTCAGTAGAAGGCATTGGATCCCCTGGAACTGGAGTTACAGGTGGTTGTGAGCCACCATGTAGGGACTGGGAAATAGACTGGGGTCCACGGCAAGAGCAACCAGGGCTTTAACTCCTGGGCCATCTCTCCAGCCCCTGGGTGGGTTGATTTTTTTTTTTTAACTGTTGGGTGTTTGTTTGTTTGTTTTTGACACCAAAAGTTGGGGGTGGGGGTAAAAAGTGAGAAATGGCATTCCATAAAACTAAAAAAAACAGCCAGGCGGCGGTGGCACACGCCTTTGATCTCAGCACTTGGGAGGCAGAGCCAGGCAGATCTCTATGAGTTCGAGGCCAGCCTGGTCTACAGAGTGAGCTCCAGGACAGGCACCAAAACTACATAGAGAAATCCTGTCTTGAAAAAACAAAAACAAAACAAAAACAAAAACAAACAAACAAAAAAACCCTAGAAAACCTTTTCTGACTCGAAGGACATGTAAACAGAATGAGAAAGTAGCCTGTAGAATGGGAGAAAAACACTTTCTAGTCATACATCTGATAAAGGAAATAGAATATATAAAGTACCTGGTAAGCAAAATAGAGTATATAATGAGCTCTTACAATTTAACAGCATAATCTAATTACTAAATAAAAAATTAACATCAAGGCAAAGGACTTGAACAGGCACATCCTAAATATGACAATACACACAGCCAAGAAGCATGTGGAAATACTCTCGGCATCACAGGGGAGTGCTGTCTGCTGTTGTCTGTATAGAAGGGTGACTGCTACAATAAACACCAAAGACTGAAAGTACAAAGAGAATTAATGTGTGGTTCAGCAGTTTTACCTCTGGGCATACACCCAAAAGGATGGAAAACAGGACCTCAGATATTTGCAAACCCCTGTTCATAGCCATGTCCACAGGATCCATGGTATTCCTCAACAGGCGGATGAATAGACCTTAGTAGATACAGGGATTATTACTCAGCCTTGAAAGGGAAGAAATTGCTAACAAATTTTCCATCATGAATGCCCCTCAAAGACTGTGCTAACTGAATAAGCCAGTCACAGAGAAGTTGAGTACTGCGTGATTACAGCCAAATTCACAGAAAAAGGAAGTGAGGGGGGTTGTTGGGAGAGAGCTGGGAGGAAGGGGTGCTGGGGAACTGTTCAATGTGGGCAGAGTCAGTGCTGCAACACAACACACGAATGTTCTGGAGAGTCACTGCCCAACAGTGAGCATACTTAGCCCTGAGCAACTCCGTACTTAAAGCAACTAAGACAGTAAATTCCAAGGAAAGTGATTTTCATCCATCCGTCTTGTTTCAAAGATGAGGACGTTCCAGTCAAAGGGGGCCGCACTGTTAGACAAACACCACACACAGCTCAGCACTGAAGCAAAAAACCAGTTCTTTTGAGAATATTTTTTTGGTTTTTTGAGAGACAGTTTCTCTGTGTAGTTTTGGTGCCTGTCTGTCCTGGATCTCCCTCTGTAGATCAGGTTGGCCTCGAACTCACAGAGATCCGCCTGCCTCTGTCTCCCGAGTGCTGGGATTAAAGGTATGCATCACCGCCGCCTGTTTGTTGTTTTTCTGTTTTGTTTTGTTTTCTTTTCTTTTCTTTTTTAAGACAGGATTTCATGATGTCACCGTGGCTGTTCTGGAACTCTGTGTAAACCAGGATGACCTCGAACTCACAGAGATCCCCATCTGCCTTTGCAGATTTCTGGGATTAAAGGTATGTCTGTACTTCCAAACTTGGGGAGCTGACTACTTCTCTTCTCTCCTGAAAGCTAGCTGGAGTTTTAAAGTTTGCCAATTAGATTAGAAAGTTCTAAATAAGAGGTCAGAGAGTTGGCTCTGAGGGTAAGAGCACTGGCTGCTCTTCCAGAGGACCCAGGTTCAATTCCTAGCACCTACCCGATGGCTCACAACTGTCTATAATTCCTGTCTTAGGGGACCCAACACCCTCTTCTGGCCTCCATGGCATTAGGCATGCTCATGGTGAACAGATATCATGCAGGCAAAACATTCATACATATAAAAATCAGTTTTAAAAAATTTAAAGGAAAAGAAAGCTCAAAAATAAAGTCTTCACAGTGAGCCCACATCAATTTTTTGTTGTTGTTCTTTGGTTATTTTTGTTTTTTGGTTTTTTTTTAAAGAGAAAGAAAATCCCACATTTTTGAGGATGACATTTAACAATCCTCTTACCTGTGATAGACTGTGGCTCTATTCTCACCTTCAAAAACTGTGACTGGAGCTGCATCAGCTCGTCTCTTCTCTTCCGTTCTTTGAGTCTGGTTAACATCCTCTTCTGCCAAGGATCACGTTTCGGTTTGACCTAGCGGATGAATATGATCGTGGGTCTCAAGAGAAGCCACACAGAGAAAGACCTGGGGACCTGCCAAAGTGGACCTGTGTCCCTGCTTAGAGGTTTGCTGGGCATGTGAGGCCTTGGGAAAGGTCTGCACAGCTCACGGAGCTGTGAAAGGAGCCAGCAGGTCCTGTTGGCACTCGGCCTATGCCACACAGGAGTCCCATCTGGACTGTACTGAGCAGGACACACACAGGAAGGAGCCTAGAGCCACCAGCACGGAGCACATCATACCGATGGAGCAGAGGGGAGAAGTCACCAGAGTCCCGAGGACTCCTGAGGATTTCACATTTAAAACGTCACCTTTCCTATTAAGAAACTGTAGCTCTAAGCTTAGCTCTGTGGCTATAAATTCCATCATCGGCATGCTGATAATTCCCCAATTCACGTCTTAGCCCAAGTAGGTATGAACATAGTCTGCAGTTTTCTACTGCAGACTGCCGGAGACCCCTACTTAAAACCAGATTTTTTGTTTTATAACTCAGTTGTGCAGTTTCCAAGCACAAACTCTGTAGACAACAATGCCATGCTTTAGTGTCAAAAGGTTGGACACTCCTGACTGTTCTGCCCAAGTACCTCCGTAACGTCTATGTTTGGGAGTTAATTCTAAGACACAGGGTCTGCCCCACCTACACTGACTGGCCCAGGTGGAGAACAATCTTTGGTTCCTTTCTTTCTTTCAGTCCACTTTTCCGGGTGGACTGTGTCTCTCCAAGACTCATGTTGAAACCCACCCTGCAACATCAGGCTCTAAGCAAGTGTGACTTTAGAAGGGATAAGTTCAAGGCGGTAGGTCCCTAGTGAACAAGATCAGCCCCTCACAAGAGAGCTGAGGCTGCTGTGTGTCTCTCCCACCACGTAAGAGAACGGCAAAACATCAGCAGTCTGTGTCCTGGAAGAGTGCCCTGCCAGATTCCCTGCTGTGCTGGTAGGCAGACCTGCTCAGCCTCCAGAAATGTGAAAAGCAAAAGTACTTTGATTATTAGCTACACGCTTCACTGTACTTTGTCAAAGCAGCCTGAATTAACAGCAGGAGCCACAAATCATATCAGACTTTCCTTTCCAAGTTTGGTTCCCAGCACGCACATATGACAGCCTACAACTGCCTATAGCTCAAATTCCAGGGGATCTGATGCCCTCTTCTGGCCTACTGTGGCATCTGTAGGCTTGTGATACACATACTAAGGCAGACACACACACACACACACACACACACACACACACACACACACACACACACACACTAAATTATATATATTTAATCTTTAAAAAGAGATTCCTTTCCTTCATATAACAATCAAGACTTATCAAACATGGATTCTACATTTTCAATTTTACTTACTCATTAAAATATGTTTGTGACCCCAATGTCAATCATGGCCATTCATAGCCTGGCACAGGGTTGGGGACAATGGATACATTCCCAGCCAAGGCTGAATAAGACAACATTCTGCCTTATGGACGCTAGAAACAAGGGTCCCTTTTGTGTTTTGTTTCGGGCCATGTTCACTGTCCTTTTTGTTGGTGAAATCATCCCTAAAGAGAAGAATCCTAAAGCACTGGCTGTGTCTTAAGTCCTGCACTAGAAGGCTGTGACAGTCTCTGGAGAAGTCATGTTAGATGAACGTCATTCACACGGAGTTCTAGTACTTCCAATAATGAAGTTCAAGGTTTATGAATCAAGGATAGATATTAAACAGGGCAGCTGTAAACAAAAAATAAATAAATAAAACAAGGCTCTAAGTGTTGGTGTCTCTCTCTCTCTCTCTCTCTCTCCCTCCCTCCCTCCCTCCCTCCCTCCCTCTCTCTCTCTCTCTCTCTCTCTCTCTCTCTTTCTTTCTTTCTTTCTTTCTTTCTTTCTTTCTTTCCTCTTCTTTTTTTCCCCTGTGGAATAAGGTCTTACTCTGTAACTGGAACTGCTGTGTTCCAAGCCAGGCCAGAACTCACTGTGCAGCCCAGGCTGTTCTTGAACTTGGGCAGGTTCCTCAACTGCCCAAGTGCTGGAGGCGCCATAGTAGGTGGGGTTCTGCATTAACCACTGCTTTGAGCACAGGTTCCCAGGAACCTAACTTGGATTTCTGGATCTGCTAAACCAGTGTTTCCGGTTATTTCTAGAACACAGACTGCTTGGCTATTGAGACCTGGTTATAATTCTCACCAGCTACTGCCATTGGGCTAATCCTGGTGCTATCCTGGTGCTTAGGCATCATGTGTGAACCCTGCATCCTCAGCACCGAGGGCCTGACATGTAAATATCCAGTAATAGTTGTAAACTAAATGTTGGCTTTACACATCAATGATATTTCTGAGTATCTTTGTTCTTGTCACACATGTGAAACCATTAAAGGTGAAAAGGGAGCCTGGCATAGTGGCATGCACCTGTAAGCCCCGCATTTGAGAGGCCAAGGCAGGAAGGTGGCCATGAGTTCAAGACCAGCTTGGGCTAGAATAAGAGCTTCTCTCAAAAATTGTGTGTGTGTGTGTGTGTGTGTGTGTGTGTTTGGGGAGCTTTAGCTAAGCATAGTGGCACACACCTGTACCCCGGTACTAAGGGAGCTGAGACAAGAGAGCCAGGAGTTCAAGGCCATCCTTGGCTACATAGTAGAGTGAACAAGGACAGTCTGGGTTATATGAAAATTCTGCCTTTTAAAACAAACAGGTTAAAAAAATGTAAATAAAAGGAGAAAGAAATGCAGATTATAGAGTGGGTGTTGGGTGTTGGGGGACCGTCTAGCTCGGACGGTGGTGTGACTGCCTTCAACAAAGAGCTAAGGTAGGAAGAGCAGAGAGGACCCCGTGCACAGGATGAGGTTTTCTGAGTGGTCTCCATTGAGGACAGGAAACCTGTCTCCTAGGTCCTGGAGGACAATTTGCTCAGGTTACTAAGGAGAGGGACCAAAAGGGACCAGAAAGACCCGGTGTTGCCAGGGTGCCTGCTCAGTTTGGCGTTGCTGACGTCACCGGCAGGTGACTGCCCCTACAGGCCCCTACCTTCACGAAGGGAACCCAGGCAGCTCTCTTTTTCAGGGTAGCAGCAGGTCCTGACAAATTCTGCACTTTCGCTCTCCCGGCCTCGTAGTCTTGGAACGTTCGCATCCTTTGTTGCTCCGTGAAGATGTTTTGGAAGTTCTGAGAAACCTAAGGAGGATTGAGAAGAGAGGAATGGGACCTCCCCAGGGTCCCCAGCCTCAGTATAGCGGCTTACAGAGCCACAGCCTTCAGAAGGTGCCTGCTTTTCCACAGTGCTCCAAAGAGCTTAACTTTCATTTCCTTCTTTCCTTGCCCATTTTAAGCACGCTTTACCTAACACTCTGAGCTTTGCTCTCCCTCTGACGTGACCTCCCGCATGTGGGGCGTGTTGCCACGTAGCTGGCCTCTGTGCCTAATTCTGCGTTATGACGTTTTCTTTCTTTTCTCTATCTTCCTTCTCAGGCAGCTGCTGAGGTTTATAGCTTGTTTGCTCTGGGTTTTCTCTCTTAAATGCCAATAAAAATTAAAAGGAGAAGAGGAGGGGGAAAGGGGAAGAGGAGGGGAGGGTGAGGAGGAGGAAGAAGAGTGGAGAGAGGAGGAAGAGAAAGATGGAGAAGAGGGAGGAGGAGGAGGAGGAGGAGGAGGAGGAGGAGGAGGAGGAGGAGGAGGAGGAGGAAGAAGAAGAAGAGGAGGAGGAGGGGAGACTTGTTGCCCAAGTATGAGGACCTGAGTTTGGATCCCAACACATATATTAAAAAAACAAAAACAAACAAACCCCCAGCCATGACCACATGTGTGTGACCCCATCACTGTTGGGTGGGGAGATGGGAGATTCACCAAGTCTTGAAGGCCACCAGCCCAGCTCCAAGTTCAATGGGAGACCTTGCCTCAAGGAATAAGGCAGAGTCAGGATAGATCAGGACACCAACTTCCTCCTCTGGTCTTCGAACACATGTGCGCAGGCCTGCACTGCACACACACACACACACACACACACACACACACACACACACATAAAAAAGGAAAAGGAGGAGGAAAGAAATGGAAACCAAAGGAAAACATTTTGGCTCTCAAAAAGAGCTACTGGTTCTCTCTGTCTCTCTCCTCTCTCTCCTCTCTCTCTGTCTCTCTCTGCCTCTCTCTCTCTCTGTCTCTCTCTCTTTCTCTGTCTCTCTCCTCTCTCTGTCTCTCTCTCTCTCTCTGCCTCTCAACAATTTTACCTTTAGTTTTTTTTATCTTATACACATGGATGTTTTGCCTGCATGTATGTCTTTGTGTCACACGTGTTCAGTGCCCTAGGAGTCCAGAAGAAGGTGTCGGATCCCCTGGGACTGGAGTTATAAGTGGTTGTGAACCACTGTGCTTCCAGGTGCTGGGAATCAAATCCAGGTCCTCTGCAAGGGCAGCCAGGGCTCTTAACTGCTGATCTATCTCTCAAGCCTCTACTGATTGTCTTTGAAACAGCCCTGGAAGGAAAGTGACTCATGAAGAGGCCTCTGTTAGGACAGTACTTAACGTGGACATCTCTGTGTGGCGCATGCTCTCGGTTCATTAGGATGGCCAGCATGCCTCACCTGTGCTGAGTGCCCGCTCCAAAGATCAGAAACACATTAGCACATCCACCTGTATAAATTTTGGGTTGGACTTTAAATATAAGCAGGAAGTAAACCGCCCGCCTTTGGGAAAGTATTAAGTTTTTCTAACCACCTGGTAAACTAGAACATCTAAGGGTTAATAAGTCATGCTCTCAGAAGCCTAAGTTATCTCTAGTGAGAAAAGTTAAGATGCTACATTGTCAGATGTAGCTGGAGTTTTCCTGCCTGGCCCACAGCCAGGACAAATCTCTCTCACCCGCCAGTCCCACAGCCGCTCAGACCCAACCAAGTAAACACACAGAGACTTATATCGGTTACAAACTGTATGGCTGTGGCAGGCTTCTTGCTAACTGTTCTTACATCTTAAATTAATCCATTTCTATAAATCTATACCTTGCCACGTGTCTCGTGGCTTACCGGCATCTTCACATGCTGCTTTTCATGGCGGCTGGCAGTGTCTCCCCCCTCCTTCCTGTTCTCTCAATTCTCCTCTGTGTTAGTCCTGCCTATACATCCTGCCTGACTACTGGCCAATCAGTGTTTTATTTATTGACCAATCAGAGCACACATTTGATATACAGACCATCCCACAGCAGTCAGAACTTAAGGTACCTGCCTCATTCTCACCTCCCACCTCTGACCTCTGACCTCTGACCTTCAGACAGAGGCTACAAAGCTGACTTCCTGCTGCCAGCGCCCTTCTTGTCCACTGGTGCTCCGCCATAGCACACTGTGACAGTTACACAACAGTGTGAAACTTCTCAATGCCACTTGGCAGGAGTAAAATGGTAACTATCCTGTCGTGAGCATTTAACCCCACACACATGCATACACGAGCACACACATGAACACACACATAACTATTGTGTTGTGAGCATTTAACCCCATACACATGCATACACAAGCACACATACGAAGAACCTACCCACCATGCTGGGCACCAGAGCCTCAGCAAAGAAGTCTGCATGTTCATGGGTTTCAGAACTGAGGATTCTTCTAGTTGATGCTGGTACTCCTGAGGGTAGGTGATACCACACCGTTGCCTCTAGCCATGTGGGATTGGTTTTGTTGTAAGTTAGTTAAAATGGGAACTTTAGTTTCTCCCTTGCACTAATTACACTCCATGTGCCCAACAGCTATGTGTGACAAGTAGACACAATGCACAGCCCAGCCTTGGACACAGCCAGCCTGCAGGGTGCTTCGGAGACACTAGGGTAGGGCTGGGCTTTGGAATCATTCTTTTTTTTTTTTTTTTTTTTTTTGGAGCTGAGGATCGAACCCAGGGCCTTGCGCTTGCTAGGCAAGTGCTCTACCACTGAGCTCAATCCCCAATCCCTTGGAATCATTCTTAATAGGTCAGATAGTTGATATTTCAGTTTTTGCAGACCACAACTATTCAAGTTTGCCCCTGTGGTATGAAAGTAGCCACAGATAAAACATAAACAGGCATGGATTTGCTGGCATTTGAATATTTATGTTTCCACAAAATTAGTGTGTTGAAATCCTACCCCCCGCCCCCAGGAAAAGGGACTGGGAGAAGGCACTTGAGGAGGTAACTAGTTCTCATGAATAGGATTAGCCCTTGAGAGCCCTGAGCATTTCTGCTAGGAAAGGCACACACACACCAAGTTAACATCTATGTACCAGAAAGTGAGCCTTCTCCAGGCGCCAACTCGGCCTCAGCTGTGACAACCTCAACCGTCAGGACAGGAAGAAACTGTTGGCTGAAGCCACTCAGTTTGTGGACTCCTGTTATACTAGTTGGAATGGACCAAGACAGCTGGACGCCAATAGAGTTTTATTTTGGAAAATCAAGCAGTGAGCTGCAGGCTGTAGTTGGCCAACCCTGTCCAAAGGCGTTAAAATACCAGAAAAAAATAAGATCTAAGTGCGTGTGCACATGCATGCGCGCGCACACACACACACACACACACACACACACACACACACACACACGCATGCACACTGGAATGTGACTGATCATCCAGGGAGCAAAGCTAATACTGCTCTAAGAAAACCAAAACTAGGAACTATTGTTGCCATGAAAGGGACACAAGCTGTTCTTTGGGAACAAGGCTGCTTTGTCGGGGTGGTCGGGGTCTCACATTCTTTTAACATTGGTTACATAAAAGGGACAGGAATTCTGGGCATGGTGCTACATACCTGTGATCCCAGCACTTACTTGGGAGGCTGAGGCAAGAGGACTGCGTGTTTTGTAGCCAGCCTGGGTGTGCTGGCTAGTTTTATGTCAACTTGACATAAGCCAGAGTCATCAGAGAGGAGGGGGAAAAAGCCTCCATAAGACCTGCTGGAAGCAAGCTGTTGGGCATTTTCCTAACTAGTGATTATTAGGTACGAAGTGGGCCCTCCAAATACCAGAGTGGCTGACAGCGTCCTAAATGACAGTCTGGGCTCAGCTCAGGCTGCACTGTCACTAGGTAAACAGAAGGATTGCTCTTAAACTCAGCATTCTTCAGGAACCTTATAAAGCCCATTTCTGTTCGTCCCTGATCAGTCTCCTATAGGCAACTGCTTATTAACTCTAACAAGCCTGTGACAGATCAAAGTTCCCATGCTAGCTCCCAGGCTGCTCTGGCTCCCACCCCACCCTGCACTCCACCCTGACTTGCTACCTATCTCCTTAAAAACTGAAACTTCGTCCCCGCTTGCTGCAACCCTCACCCCCAGAGACTGCATTGACAGCATTATCCCCTATAAACCTTTCTGTCTATCCGTGGAGTGGTCTAGTTCAGTGGTTTCACCCCATCCTCGCTGACAGTGATTGATGGGGGAGGGCCCAGTCCATTGTGGATGGTGCCATTCCATGGGTCGGTGGTCCTGGGTTCTACAAGAAGCAGGCTGAGCAAGCCTGTAAGCAGCACCGTGGCCTCTGCGTCAGCTCCTGCCTCCAGGTTCCCGCCCTGTGCGAGTTCCTTCCTTGGAGTCCCTCAATGGACTGCGATGTGGAAATGTAAGCTAAAGAAACTCTTTCCTCTCCCAGCTGCTTTTGGTCATGGCATCCAGTCACAGCAACAGTAACCTAGCTAGGACACTGGGCTACATAAAAGACTGTCAGAGGAGGTGTGGGGAAAGGAGGAGAGCAAAGAGGAGGGAGGGGAGGAAGGGAGGAAGAAGAGGGGGAGGAGGGAGGGAGGGAGGAAGGAGAGGGAGGGAGGAAAGGGAGGAAGAGGAGGGAAGGAGGGAGGGGAGGAAGGGAGGGGGAGGGAGAGGCAGAGGAAGGAGGAGAAACAGGTGGAGAAGGGGAGCAAATGCTATACGCCGCCATCTTCCGAGAAGCCAGAGGAATGAGACGGAGCCAGGTCCAGTGAGCTTAAAGAACGTGTCATACACAAAAGTGCAGCCCTGGTAAATGATGCTGGCATGAAGACAAACACACTGGGCCCTCAAGGTCAGCTCTCTACCGGGTCAGCTCCTCCCGAAGCACAGGCGCGGGTGTCAGAAGGGAAAGGGGAGCCCTCCCATCCCAAGGTCGTTCAAAAGCACCCAGGCTAGATTGCTGCCTGCTCGGGTCAGCCAGGTGATCATTTTTATCTTGCGAACAATGTACAGCTAGAGCTAGCAAGCTATCTCACTGTGGAAAGCACTGCCACTGTGTTTGAAGTTATAAATCTGAAGTTCTGTATCCACCGCCCCACTTTCCCCTTGGAAGGGAGTCTCAACCCGGCTTTTGATACTGTGAGGTTTTCTATTTAAGAAAGTACAGCAGCAGGTTACTGTGGGAAGTGGGGGGGGGGCATGACTGCATCCCTCAGAACATGCGGTGCGTGACATTGGGTATAACCTTATTTAGGATGTCAAGAACACATCCTTCCATCTCTCCTTAGACTCAGAGGGCTACGCATGCTTGACAACACTTGCAGGCATGTCTGTCTAACCTGGGGTACATTTATATCTTCTTATCTCACCCTTTTCTTTAAAACCTACAGGGGGGAAATGGAAAGGTATAATCCCTCTGGTTCACTGTGGTCACAAGATCTGGTTACTCTCCTGGAAAGGAAGCTCTTCCTAATGGGAAGATGGCTCATTACTTCGTATCTTATTTCTCTAGAAACAAGCATTGGCAGAAAAAATAAACCACTTAGACTCAGATGTGGCAGCAGACACCTATAATCCTGGATGTGGAGACAGGAGGATGGGAAGTTCAAGGTCATCCTCCACTACACAGCTAGCTTGAGGCCAGCCTGTGCTACATGAGATCCTGTCTCAAACAAACAGACGAGCAACTTCGTAGTAAATACTGATGCTTTCTGTCCACTCCCCGGCCCCCCCCCCCCCCCATATTTATAGTAAGAGTGCATTATGTACCAAAGAAAAGAGTTCCATCTCTTCGGCCCAGTCACTCAGCTTTTCTAAGTCGTAGGGGATGTGGAAATGTGAGAGCAGGTGCCTCAGCTGGGGTTTCACTTCCTCCTTCTCTGTCACATGCTGAGGCAGGACGCAGGCAGCACCTCTTCTCCCTGGCCATGAAAAACATCCAGATCAAGACCAGAGAATCAGGAGAGACGGTAGACGGCCTTGGAGAGAGTTGAAAGCACGCCCCCTGCTGGTGGAGAGCCATTCTGCTCTCCGCTGGTGTCTCCAAGGCAAGGGCATCTTACCTGGCTGGGCTTTCGTGCTGCTCACTCCCCAGTCCCCACTGAGATTTTTCTGGGAGGGTGCAAGGACTCCTCACAATCTCACAGCCCTCAAGAGAAGCCCACTAGACAGAGAAGCCCACTAGGCCTCTCGGGGACTGTCTCAGTGGGTGTACTGGCTGGTTTTGTGTGTCAACTTGACCCTTGACACGAGGTAGGAGCCTCAGTTGAGAAAATGCCTTCATGAGATCCAGCTGTAAGGCATTTTCTCAATTAGTGATTGATGGGGGAGAGCCCAGCGTACAGTGGGTGGTGCCACCCCTGGGCTGGTGGTCCTGGGTTCTATAAGAAAGCAGGCTGAGCCGGGCAGTGGTGGCGCATGCCTGTAATCCCAGCACTCGGGAAGCAGAGGCAGGTGGATCTCTGTGAGTTCGAGGCCAGCCTGGTCTACAGAGCTAGTCTAGGACAGGCTCCAAAGCTACAGAGAGAAACCCTGTCTTGAAAAACAAACAAACAAACAAAAAGCAGGCTGAGCAAGCCATGAAAAGCAAGCCAGTAAGCAGCACTCCTCCATGGCTTCTGCATCAGCTCCTGCCTCCAGGTTCCTGCCCTGCTTGAGTTCCTGTCCTGACTTCTTCCAATGATGGAGTGTGATCTGGAAGTGTACGCCAAATGAACCCTTTCCTTCCCAACTTGCTTTTCGGTCATGGTGTTTCGTCACAGCAATAGGAACCCCAACTCAGACAGTGGGGCAGCCCTGTCTGTGGGTCTGTGGTGAGTGAATTATGCCAGTGACAAGTTAATCAGAGCCTCCGTTTTGCTTTTCCTGGCTAACTCACAGTAAACTCATCTGAAAGCATTAATATGGAAATGAGTAAACTGAGGCCCCAAGGAAGTAACTTGCAGGACTATGTGAGGCCAGGACAGAAAGAGGCCTAGAGGTTGCTGGTTCTAAAGATGGAGACAGACAGACATGTCTATGGCCACTGTCTTCCATCAGGAGTTATTAATATTAAATTACTACTTATTACGAAGATGTAACTTTTTGGCATATAGGAAATGTTCTGGAAGATCATGGGACAAAAGAGGCCCTGCACAAAACCACAGCCCTCCTCTCTCCACTCCACCCTAGTCAGGGCCAATTTCTTACCTGAAATGCTGGCGTCCGTGGGACCAGGAGATGCGGACTTAAGGTCACCTACACAGGCTTTTTCTTGTTCCTCACAGGATTCAGAGAGTCGGTTATGAGGCAGACTCTGCAGCACTCTGGAGATGGGCAGGCACTGGAGAGCCTACGAGACAGCCCACAGCACATGGGTCAGCCTGGTGTTCACAGACACCACAGCCTTCCCTGTGACAGAGGAAGGAGGGAGGCTGGGGTGGGACCCTAGAAACCTGCACAGTGACAGAGGGCGGAGCTGGGCGGCTCTGACACATACACACACACACACACACACACACACACACACACACACACACACACATACACACACACACTCCAGCCGGTCCCGCGGTGGTCATGCACACGGGTGAGAAAGGCGCTGTGTGGGATGCTCAGGGTGTGAAGAGAAAGGAGTCGGATTTAAGGGGAAGATTCAGATTTGGGAGCACGTGTTTGTACTATCATATGACTGTGGAGAGAAAGAAGTATTGCCCACAGTGGCTGGGTGGCTTTGAAGAGGGGATGTAGTTGGGTGACCACCAGGTTTCAGGAAATGAGATCAAGTTACTTTTCCGTGATCCTCCAACCTGACTTAGGGCCTCTCCCACGTAACACTCTTTACCCCATTACTCTCCCCTGACCCCGTCCCTGGTAGTGCTGGGGGTTGAACTCCTGGCCCTGCTCAGGCTATCCTGCATATTCTACCACTGAACTGCTACAGCTACCTTACTATTTATTATTAGTCATTATTTTCTGAGACAAGTGTTCACTGTAGACAAGGCTAACCTCCAACTCACCGTGGAGCTCAGGCTGGCCTCAGAATCAAGACTCTCCTGACACAGCGGCCAGGGGGCTGGGATGAGGCAGCCTGGCCATGTCCAGCCCTGTTCTTCCTTACCTCTTCATATTGTAGTAGAAACTTACTTACCCTCTTCCCCCAGCCTAGGACCTGTTAATTTTTCAGCAAAGGACAGGTCTTTGCTGTGTGGGCCTAGGGCAAGTATCCTGACATATGATTTCCTCATTAAATACGGCCAAGTAAGAGCGTGTGTCCAATTCATGAAGAACATGAGTGAGTCCTAAGAAACCAATGGAGCACGAAGTGAGTGGGTATAAACCAGGATGTAAGAGGGACTTCTGAGGGAGCCAAACTGATGCAGTGTTCGGTGAGGGTGTTTTCCCAGACTCCAGCAGCCCATCATTTTCTTGTCCTTTGTAGGGAGAGCATGGGGCAGATGTCGTGGGACACCGAGTTCTCCCTCCCCCCGAGGGCCTGGACCAGCACACTGTGGTCCGTCCGTCCGTACTACCTGCAGGTAGTGATGGATGGTCCTGAGGGAGTGCAGGTGGCACACTAACCACCTGGTATAAATCGTCAGGTCTTCTGGTGTCACGAGGGTGGGGGGATTGCTTTTTTCCCGTAAGGAAGTTGTCTCTAGCCGCTGACAGTCTTTCTGCCCTCTGAACTGCATCGTTGAACTCCTGCATGATGTAGCCGACTTGCTTCTGTTTGAAGGAGATACAGACAGACCATGGGTTGTTGGCAAGGCATGCTCTCTGCAGCGCAAGGCACGCTCTCTGCAGCGCTGTCTAGTTGTTGGATAAGGGGCTTTTGGAACCCCCAAGTTCTTCGACAGTTTGGGTTTGGGTGATAGAGGCAATGGTCATACTCTCCCAACTCTGAGGGACAGCAAGCTGAGCAGGAGGCTGTTTGGTAGCAGGAGTCCACCTCTGAGCTTCCTGCCCTGGGTCTACGAGGAAAATGCATATCCTCTATGTAAAAATTACGTCGGAGCTCATGCTTCAAAGTAGGAATCTTTGGGGCATGGTGGCACACACTTTTAACCCCAGCACTTGAGAACCAAAGGCCAATGGATCTTTGTGATCCAACCTGGACCACACAGTGAGTTCCAAGACAGCCCAGGGTACATAGTGAGCCCTTGTCTCAACAACAAAAAAAGGAAGAATCTTTGTCTTCTGCTACCTAAGGTATGAACACATGTCTTCTCATGGCAGAACACATGAGAAGGTAGACCCATTAGTTCCCTCCTTGTCTTTAGGAAGGCAGGCTGACATGTGTGGTTCCTCATTTGGTCTGTCTGTAGTTGTGGAAGCTTGACTACCACGTTCTCCCACAAATGGACCTTGAGAGCTTGTGTGCAGGTGCTAGCCGGGGAGCAGAGGTACTTATACATCTTTGAGCAAACACTGGTCTAAGACTGTCCTCTTCAGCCCTGTAAGTGGCTTCATGGGACATCATGGAGCTGTGAAGGACATCCGAAACACCCCCAGCAATTAATGGGGTGACAGATGCCGCAGCCACACACTGCCCTTTAACACAATGGCAAGCTTACTGCCCATGCTGTTTCATTGAGAAAATGCATCCATAAGGTAACTGGAGATGTTTCCATTATTAAACATGCTTGCTGTCCTTCCAGGGGACCCGAGTTGGGTTCCCAGCAACCTTACCGGGCAGCTCACAGCCACCTGTAACTCCAGTTTTAGGAGGGATCTGATGCCCTCTTCTGGTCTCTATGAGCACTGCATTCATGCAGAGTATCCCCCCCCCCCCCCCCCGCTCCCCCCCCCCCCACATAATTTAAAATAAAAATCAAGTCTTTAAAAAACACATGTAGATGGCCGGGCAGTGGTGGAATTCACTCTGCAGACCAGGCTGGCCTCGAACTCACAGAGATCCGCCTGCCTCTGACTCCCGAGTGCTGGGATTGAAGGCGTGCATCTCTGGCAGAGTGAATTCCAGGAAAAGGCGCAAAGCTACACAGAGAAACCCTGTCTCAAAAACAAACAAACAAACAAACAAACAAAAAACGTGTAGAGATTCCACAGGCCCTGCTCCCGGCGTCCTACCTTGTAAAGAGGGAGGAGCTCTTCCATGGCCTCGCTGGTCTGGCAGAGTCGCTTCCACCTCAGCATGTGCAAATGTTTACTCTGGGTCAGGTGTGTGATTCTCTCTGTGTAATACTTTCCCAACAACAAAAATAAGAAATAAGAACGTACCAGGATATAATTATAGGAAGGTGAACAACACCCAAAAGCGGAAGGGGAACGGCACCCGAGGAACGACACATGAGGTTTTCCTCTGGGAAGCACACAAGCACACGCATGCACCCATGCACCCATGTGGACACACACACATACCAAAAACCCTGAGTCAAAAGTACATCACAAGTAAGGTTAGTGGGCCAGGGAGGTGGCTCTTTGGGTAAGGGAACTTGTTTTGCAATCCTGACAACCCGAGTTTGATCCCAGGGACCCCTGCAAAGGTGGAAGGCAGGAAGGAAGTCCACAAATGTCCACTAGCCTCCACATGTGCACCATGGCACATCCTACACACACATGCCATGCACACACACAGTAAGATTGTAGCTTATAAAATCAGACTGAAAAACTTTGCTTACAACTAACAATTGTTAAATGCAGTGACCCATTTCTATAATCCTAGCACTCAAGAGACTGAGGCAGGAGGATTCAGGCCAGTCATGCAGATGTCTTTCTAAAAAGTTAATTTCTTAATTTTCTTTCTGGCACTAAAACTCACACTGTCTGTGAAGAAATGAGTCCTGTCAGATTCTTTCCTCACAAGGAGCAAATTTGACAGAATACATGAGACAACCATCTTCCAATCCTAAACTTCGTAGTACCGTGGAGAAGAGAGCCGCATCGCCATGGTTCCCGGGGGAGAGAGCCTCATTCCTGCTTCTGAGGCACGGGAAGCAGAGGGGAACCCTGAGCACGGAAGGGACCTCTCTGAGTCAAGGACAGTGAAGCTGAAATGTGAGGAGCAGAGCCAGGGAGATTGTAGGCTGCAGCACCAAGAGGAGGAAGCCATGCAGAGAAAGTTCGAGAAATCTGGACAGATCCCCACGGGCCGCTGTTGAGTGTCTAGCCAGGCACGCAGCAGGTTAAACTCCAGGAGAATGCGCAAACAGTAACCGACTGGGACCTCCACCCGGCATCTCTAGAGTTCTCACAGGGCTGCAAGACGGTCAAGTTCAACCACCAGCATGAAGGTTCTTCCCTGGATGCCTGAGACATCAGGGATTCACACCAGGGCTTTGGTAACAGGGACAAACTATGCCTAGAGCAAAAGACACTTAAAGCAAGCCTCTAAAGGGGTAAGTTGACCTGTAACTTAAAAGTTTGCCAGAACAAAGTCCAACACTTTACAAGGACTATAAGAATATATGGAGCCCAGTGGTGGTGGCGCACACCTTTAATCCCAGCACTTGGGAGATAGAGGCAGGTGGATCTCTGTGAGTTCCAGGCCAGCCTGGTCTACAGAACAAGTTCCAGGACAACCAGAGCAGTTATACAGAGAATCCCTATCTCGAAAAACAAAATATATTTATATGGCACCCAATAGTGAAAATTTACTTATTTTTTAGTATTCATTTATAAATTATCAGACATGTAAAGGAACAATTAAAAATGACCTATGAACAGAAGAAATATTAGTGATGAGAACACAAGAGCTGACAGAGGTAATAAAACTGGGGGGGGGGAGGGAGAAAACAAATAAAATATGACCAAGACATCACTCAGTGGAAAGGAGAAGCCGTCTCACTTCCTCGGAAGCCTGGGGATCAGTGACATTGGGCAGGAGAGGTGCTTCACAGCGAAACCCAGCTGCAGACCGCCAACCAAAGGCTCTCAGGAGGCCTCGAGTCAAGTTCTGAGAAAGCTGTCCGAACCAGAGGAGAGTGATTGCCCAGATGTTACGGTCCAGTGCACATGTAGCAGATGTGTGGCTTCCACTGCAGAAGCCACACGGAAGAACCCTGTCTATCAGTGGGCGCCTGTGTGTGAAAACACCAACCAATGCCCCCCACTGATCTCTACCCCCGTCTATCAGTGGGCGCCTGTGTGTGAAAACACCAACCAATGCCCCCCACTGCCCTCGACCCCCGTCTATCAGTGGGCGCCTGTGTGAAGACCTCCCTTCTCTTCTATCAGTGGGCGCCTGCATGCTCTGTCACCTGCGCTTGGCTGACTCTAGGAAAGAGAAGGACGCTCTCAAGCTCCCAGTCTAAGAAGTGATTTACATTTCCTCCCAGGGTTCACTAAGAAGGATCTTTCACTGCTCTCTGAACAGGTAAAAACAGTTCAGGGCTGCAGAGATGGCTCAGTGGTGAAGACGTGGGCTGCGAAGCCGGCCGACCTGAGTTTGGTCCCCGGGACCGGTTTCTGCCGTCGCCATGGAAATGAGAAGCCTGAGCCTGGACCAAGGCAAACACTGAGAGCTGGGAGAAGTTAGAGGTTTCTCTCTACTGAGATCATTAGTTCAGCAAAACAACCACCTTTCCGGAATCTTCTATAACCCCTCGAAGGAGACTCGCAGTGCAGAGTACTGAGAGAAGCAGGTGGTTTCAGAACTAATTGCTCATTTGAGGATCGTACTTTAGAATGTTTGAAGCCTTTTTTGATGTTTTGATTTTGAGCCTTAGCCTTTAAAAGCTGAGTGATCCCCCTGGCCTGAAAGTTTTTAAAGTCTTAACAGATTTTTGTTTAAATTTTTTTATGTATATGAATGTTTTGCCTGAATTACGTCTGTGCACCATGTGTATGCAATGCCCTCTGGAGGCCAGAAGAGGGCGTCAGATCCCCAGGAACTGGAGTTCTGATTGGTTCTGAGCTGTCATGTGGGTTCTGAAACTGAACCCAGGTCCTCTGCAAAAGTGGTAAATGCATTAACCACTGAGCCATTTCTCCAGCCCCTAAAATGTTTAAAGTCTTCAATGCCATTGAGAGAACTGACTAAAAAGGTCTTCCTTGTAAGTCAGAAATCAGACTACGGAAATGCTAACTCAGTCATCTGGATTGGCCTCCAAGGACCGTAAACTGCCCAATTTTGAGCATATTTTACTGTGACTTGAACAACCTAGAATGGAGTGAAAAGATGATTCATGAGCTACACGGTCACGCAGGTGGCCGATGTGACTGCCACAGCGTCGCCTGGGGAGGTTCTGGCTCCACTGCAGTGGCCGCTGTCTGCTCTGAATAGAAACAAGGAACACTGGTGTCCATGCTCCAAGGCCTGGACCCTAACCCAGCAGTTACATTTATCACCGGCATGACTGCTATGTCTTGGAACTTAAGGGTCCCCCAACACTTGTGGGTTGAAAGCTCGGTCCCCAAAACAGCAATATTCAGAGGTGGGCCTTAGGCAAGTAAATAGGTCAGGGGCTCAGACCCCATCAATGGATTAGTCCATCTATGGATTCACAAATTAGCGGCTTGGAGGGGAGGATCTTCGTTATAAAAAGTGAGCTGCTTCCTGGCAACCAGGAGGTGAACAGCTTTCTGCTGCCCCCCCCCCCCCCACCTTCCAGCTACCACGCCACAGGCTCAGAAACAACGCAGCCACGTGTGAACAGAAGTTGCTTGGAAATGAAAAAGAAAGCTCTACTTTACACTGAACCTTCCATATAGTTTTCTTGGCTTTTTTTCTTTTTTCTTTTGTTTATTTTTATTTTATGCACATTGGTGTTTTGCCCGTATGTGTGTCTGTGTGAGTGTGTCTGATCTCCTGGAGCTAGAGTTTCAGACAGTGGTGAGCCGCCATGTGGGTGCTGGATTGAACCTGGGTCCTCTGGAAGAGCAGCCAGTGCTCTTAACCACTGGGCCATCTCTCCAGCCCCCACCCCATCCCCGCCCCAGCTTGGTTTTCTAACTGACTAGAACTTCAACGCCTGTGGAGAACTGGGAAGTCGCAGGTCCAAAGCCTAATTACAACTTATCTCGGACTATCTCTACCTTCTTTAGTAGCCATTTCTTGACCACCTCTGTGTCTAACATGGCATCTTTGTGTCCGTTAGGTAAATCCTTTGGAATGTGAGAATAGGGCATTAGCTTCTGTCGACCACAAGGCTCGGAATGCCACCACGTAGCATCTGGGGCCTGTAGCTGAAACTCTCCCAATTTATTGTAGTCTGTCTACCTGAGGCTCCACCAGTGTATTGAGAAGTGCCTGGATCTGTGGCTCTTCTCTGGTAAGCTACAAT